GCGATCTCGGCTCACTGCAAGCTCCGCCTCTCGGGTTCACGCCATTCTCCTGCCTCAGCCTCCCGAGTAGCTGGGACTACAGGCGCCGCCACCTCGCCCGGCTAGTTTTTTTTGTATTTTTTACTAGAGACGGGGTTTCACCGTGTTAGCCAGGATGGTCCGGATCTCCTGACCTCGTGATCCGCCCGCCTCGGACTCCCAAAGTGCTGGGATTACAGGCGTGAGCCACCGCGCCCGGCCCATCATTTCTCAACTTTTCCAATTCAGCTTTGGCCTGGCAGTTACTGCAGAAGGGAAAACCCACTCAGTGGAAGGCAGCCCCCAGGAGCCTTCAGAGGGGGGAGGCCGGAGGCTGCGTGTGGCTGCTGGGGCCCCCATTCCAGGGCGGGTGGGGGACCTATCCTCGGATTCCGAGGGGCATGGCAGCGGCTGCCTCGAAGTGTGCCATGGTCAGGGCTGGCAAGGCCTGGGGTCAGGGCTCCAGACCTCTCGGGAAGGTGCAAATGGAGGACCCTGATATCTTCACATCCCCGCGGAAGCTGCCACATGAGGCGGGCCCACGGGCCAAGTGAGTGAGCTGCACTTAAGCCATCCACATCCAGCCCAGGAGGCCTCGGCCTCCCCCTCCTTGTTCCTGACTGTCTCCCAGATGGCCCGAAGGGGGCCTGGGACTGGGGGGTACTGGAGGAGGGATCTGGGGAGGGTTCATCACGCAATTTTCCCTGTCACCTCCTTCAACCCCGGGCTGTTGGGCTGGTGTAGGAACAGCAGGGAGCCCCGAGTCCTGCCCTTTGGCAAGGAATGCAGCGCTGGGCTCTGGAGAAGGTGGGAGGCGGCCGGAGCTGGGCACCTGATTCTTGGCAGCTGCTGGGAAGGTATAAAAGGAAAATAAATCTCGGGACCCCAAAATCACTAAGCCGAGAAAAGCCAAGCTGGGAATTAGGCAAACCTGCCTCCTGTTTTATTTCTAAGTAACGTAGCTACAATGATAAAGACTACATACCTCTCTCATAATTAGCGCCCAAGGAAATTCCTTGTGGACAAAGGACAGACGAAACTGGAAGTCACCCCTCTGGGGCTCCTGAGACAAATGCTTATCTGATTGTTCCCTTCCCTTATTGTTAACATAAAAATGCGGATTCACTGGGCCAGACTGAATCACGTAATCAGTGGAAGGCTGGCCGAACCAATGTATGTCTTACACATACTATCTTATGTCTCCCTAAGATGTAAAGGCAAACTGTACCCCCAACCACCTCGGGCACGTGTTTTCAGGACCTCCTGAGGCTGTCACGGGCGCATCCTTAACCTTGGCAAAATAAACTTTCTAAATTGACCAACACCTGTCTTAGATATTTGGGGTTCCCAAAGGCGTGAGACGGCAGTGTCCTGAGGTCTGAGGCGCCGTGGCCGAGGAGGAGGGTCCTGAGATCTGAGGCCCCGTGGGCGAGGAGGAGGGCCGAGCACACTCCAGGGTCAGGTCCTGGGCAGGTGGAGTCATGCAGTCCCCCTGTGTCTGCAGGTGCCGTCTGTCTGGCCTGGGCAGGGTCGGGGGAGCACTGAGGCCAGAGCCGTCCTCCCCCCAGGCACTTGCAGAGCCAACCGGAGATTCCAGGCCTGGCCTGGGTCCACGCAGGTGCTAGTGGGACCAGAGGCACTTCTTGGGAATAGATTCTGGAGGTGTCAGACACTTCCCTAACTTTTCACAGCCCGGGGGTGCCCAGTTCTGGGAAATGAAAATTGAGAAAACACCACAGTTATTCCAAGCTCGCGTGGGCCCAGCAGCAGCACTTTGTTGTTCTGTTTGGAGACAGCCTCGCTCTGTCACCCAGGCTGGAGTTCAGTGGCGTGATCTCGGCTCACTGCAACCTCTGCCTTCCGGGTTCAAGCGATTCTCCTGCTTCAGCCTCCCGAATAGCTGCTGGGCTTACAGGCACGGCTATACTCCATGCCTGGCTAATTTTTGTATTTTTAGTAGAGACAGGGTTTCACCATCTTGACCAGGCTGGTCTTGAACTCCTGACCTCATGATCCACCCGCCTTGGCCTCCCAAGGTGCTGGGATTACAGGTGTGAGCCCCCACGCTCGGCCATTTCTTTAATAGAAACAAGGGTTCCCCATGTTGGCCAGGCTGGTCTCAAACTTCTGACCTCAGGTGATCCGCCTGCCTTGGCCTCCCAAAGTGCTGGGATTACAGGCGTGAGCCACCACGCTTGGCCTTGAGCAGTTTGATGTGTCCCCTGCCCAGTCCAATCCCCGACTCCCATCTAATTGGCCTCAGTGTGGAGGCCACCTCAGTCCACGCCGGCAGCTACACAGACGCCTCCCCAGGAATCATGGGAACTCGGGAGACGGCGCCCTCACGACTCAGCCTCTCAGCTCTGAGGAGGCTGCTGTTGGAGGAGTGAGAACTTGGCGGGGAAGTCCCGAGTGTGGGGGATGCAGCTGCCAAGTGGCTGAGAGCCTCTGTGTGGCCAGCAGTGTTAGAAAGGCCCACCCTGAGCCTCTCAACTCATCACCCTCTCCTGCAGCTTCAGCCTCTCAAGAAGCCTTTCCCAGGGAGGAGCCGGTCCCTACCGCGCTGCTGGGCTCAGTTCAGTGTGGCACTGAGCGGAGCCCGCACCCCTCCATCGCCTGGGTGTGTGTGGACCTCACAGCGCAGCCCCACTTAGTGGAAGCCTTGCTTGGTGGGAGGGCACTTTTCCTGGCAACAGAAAGGGAGACTTATGCCCCTAAGAGGAGCCTTCTTGGCTGAAATGAGTGCAGTTTGGTTCCGTGTCCCCATCCAGGCCACCTCTGTGCCACGTCAGATGCCGCATGGCCCTGAGAGCACCTTCCCGTCAGGACAGACTTTGAATTGTGGGTGCTGCTCAATCAGACAGAGGACTAAGGACACTCTCAGCCCTGGGCGGCAGCAGGCGTGAGTGTCACTGAGTGGCCACATGAGTGTCCCTGCCCCCTCGGCCACCAGAGCAGGGGTGGGTTTGGCTGAGGAGGTTGCTCCCAAACTCCAGGGGCAGCAGAGGCAGCCGCAGGGTGTGTGTGAGTCTGCGTTTCTCAAAGGCTGCTCAGCTGTCCCAGGAGCAGGGGTCCAGGTGGCCAGACTCCCTCTCCTCTGTGTCAGAGACACCACTGAGCCCCTCGGCTGGGGCTGGCCTGCAGTTGGTGGGGACAGAGGGCAGGGAAGGGGTGAGGAGGGCAAGTGGCCCCCAGGCTTCACACGCCTGCCTGTGTATCTCCTCCATGGCTCTGCTCGCGGTGGCGTCTGGGCCCCTCAGACCCCAGTGGCTCACCTCGCCAGGTCTGAGTTGGCACCACTTTCCTCCTGCAGAGGGCACAGGTGTGGCGGTGGGGGCAGTTCCCCCAGTGCCCAGGAGATGGCAGCGGCAGCCAGGCTGTGCGCGCCCCCCTCCCCTGCCCTGGGCCCCTGTCTCCATGGCTGGTGTGGCCTGCACCCGTGGAGCCACTGCAGCCTGGGTCGCAGAGCAGGACCCAGCAGCACGGACTGGGATTGGGTGTGGAAGGCAGAAGCCCAGGGATCCTCCATGGCTGGTGGCCCTGGGCTCCTGGGGCCCGAGACTCAGGGGTCCTGAGACAGGGACCTCCCTGCTCCACTGCTGAGTCCAGAGGCAGGGACGCCAACTGCCCAGGTCCCTTTGAAGGAAGGGCCCTGAATATCTTCCTATGAAACTTGCCAGGCACCCCCGCCAGCCCCCCAACTAACGGAGGTGGCCCTGCCCCGCCCAGTCCTAAATGACCCCTGCAGGGTGGACCCTCCCTGGGCAGGGACAAGACCATCTGCCCTCCATGGTCCTCATTGCTGGGAGGTGCTGCCGATGTCCGGCGCTCTCCTGTTCCACCTGCCGGCCCACGCTGTGGCTCCCTGGCTGTGCAGAGCCACCACCTTCCTTCCCACGGCACGGCGGGCACCCAGTGGTTCCCACGCTGCAGCCAGGTCCTTTCGCCCACACAGCAGGAGCCCAGGCTGAAGTCTGCAGCTGCCCCGGGGTCCCGAGCTCCTGCGGTTTCACTCGGCGGATCCAGGGGCTGTGGGCAGCCACGCTCAGCCCACATAAACAGGTAAGTGATGGCTCAGGGGCCTGGAGGCTGGGTTTGGCCATCTCCACTGTGCTCTGTGGGCTCTGGGCACCCAGGAGTGACACTGCAGACCTGTGTGTGGCCCATTTTTGCTGACTGGAGTGCAGGCTGCACATGTCCCATCTGAAGGAGCCACGAAGGCCTTCCCTGCTGGGACCCACATCACTGTGCTGGGAAAAAGGCCTTTGTGGCCACTGCACACTCAGGATGACTGGGCCATCCACACCCCACCCTAGCGGACCCCCAAGCAGGGGACAGAAAAGCTGCTCCTAAGAGGCCCTGACTGCGGCCCCCATGTCTGGACAAGGAGACGCATCCTTTGTGCCTTGAACACAGACTTCAGTGAAACTTTGGAGGCACATCTATGCTTGTGTTTCTGGCCGATGCTGGTGTGATTAGGCCGTTTCTCCACTGGAGGTGAACATGGCCTGGTCTCATCAGGCCGCAAGGAGATGCTGCTCTGGGTGACTGAGTGGGATCAGGTCTGACACGAAGGTCCCTGGGGCTGGCCCAGCATGAAGGAGGCACAATGGGAACCTTGCAGGTGGGCCCTGGGGCCGCTGCCACTCACAGTGCAGCACCAGTCCACCCGAGACCCAGCGGGCAGTGCCGTTCCTGCCTCAGTGCCTGCAGAGCCTGGGGATTCAGGTGTCATCACAGGGCCCCTCCAAAGAGAAGCTGCCCGTGTGGGAGTCGAGGACCAGGGGACCCCGGCCCCTCTCATGCTCCCTGCTGTCCCCCAGTGACCACCTGTGGGAGGCAGGAGAGGGGTCTTGGAGCTCCCCAGTCTCAGCTCAGCCAGGCAGAGGCCCGGGTGGCCGGCTCTGGACCTGCGGCTGCCCTGGCACAGTGTTGTTCTGGTCCCCGAGTCGCTCGGCTCCAGCTCCCTGAATCCTGGACACCACCACGTGTGCTCTGAGGCACCAGGGCCTTACCACTGATGGAGGCAGGGAAGAGCCCCTACCGGCCGGGCGCGGTGGCTCAAGCCTGTAATCCCAGCACTTTGGGAGGCCGAGACGGGCGGATCACGAGGTCAGGAGATCGAGACCATCCTGGCTA